ACACACACACACACACACACAGTACTCTGGTGGTGATTAATGCTGAGCTTTTGTTTCAGTGAGCCGTCAGGATGTGGAGGACGCTGGGCCGGTCGCTCACTTCCCTCAGTTCTCTTACTCCGCCAGCATACGAGAGTGACCGACTCGTCTCTGCTGACGACCCATAATGCATCATGATGGACTCTGAGCGACTGCCAGCGCAGACGAAGCTGAAGTCATGTGGTGTGTGTACAGATGGATCTCTCTCACTCAATGAATGTATTGATTACCGGTGCTCAGAATGTAAAGCCAAACACGTTGCTGTCATTACGATCTCATAATCATACGTCTGGATGTTGAACAGCATGTGATTTTAAGGCTGTTTCACTCACGAGGTCACAGAGAAACACTAGTGTCATGATTAGAATCTACAAACATTAAAGATGTTCATCCTGTCCTTTAGACTTACCAGTGATCACCAGTGTGTCTGCTTTCAACCTGCTCGTGTTTTTAGGCTCAAAGCTGCTTCATCTCTTCACTCTAAAACCTCGTAGATGATCTGTTTGGCTTAAATGTTTCTACAAACCCTGCCAACATACAAAACACATGCAGAAGAATAATTAGCAGATCTGCACATATTCAGCCTGTGCATCATTCACTATATCCTAGTGCTGTCACACAATTAATCACATCCAAAATAAAAGTTTTTGTTTAAATAATGTTTGTGTACTGTGTACATTTTTTATGCATGTATAAATACACATACAGAATATACTTGGAAAATATTTACATTTATATAGCTCAGCTTTACTTGATTCTCATATATATATATATGTGTGTGTGTGTATATATATATCATATTTGAGTGTTTACAGGGTTAATTCAGTAATCTACATGCTAAATCTAACGTATATATCATATTACTATTGACCTTACAGATGAAACAGCCGAATATTATTAACTTTTGTGAACAATTAATTTCATTAAATAATCGTGTCTCATCATTAAAGGACATCAGGTCGTTTTACATGAAATACTTGAAAACAACAACAACAAAAAATGATTAATTAGTATTTTTCGACCGCGCGTGACGTGCTGCGCAGCTGTCAAGTGTGAACCAATGAGGTTCGAGGAGTCGTCATGTGATCAAAACAGGAAGTGCAGTGCTGATTGATTATTATCATCGATCTCTATGAGAAGGCGCAGCTGCTGCTGTTTGATCGCTGTCGGCATGGCAATACTCCTCTTCATCATCTTCATCTGCGGCTCCATCAGCTCTCACGTGAGTCTGATCGATCGATGTGGAGATTGATTGATTGATAGATAAATGTTCGGTGTTTAACATGACACGACACACCTGAGAGTAAACGTCACATGATGTGTGTGTTCAACTTCAGAAATCATCGCGGAGTATGTTTAAATACTGTGGTGCTACCAAGTGATTGTTATTTTAAAGAATACCATAGTGCTAGCATGGTACAGGTCCATAAACCATGGTATTACGGTGCTACTATGGTAAATCCAGGCTAGTACCGTGGTCGATTTTGGTACTTTTTGTTAGTAGACCGAATAAACTGTTGAATACCATAAGAATTTAATAGTACATGTGTAAAATGCATGATATTACCGCAGTGTCCAGGGTAATATCGTGGTATTTCGGGGTTACCGCAGTATCCACGGTAATATCGCGGTATTTCGGGGTTACCGCAGTGTCCACGGTAATATCGCGGTATGTAGGGGTTATTATTGGTTCAGTAAATGAAGGTTTGATGTGTCTGGAAATGATCTGTCATGTTGTGTGTCCTCAGGTGAGTGTGGCGTCCAGGTCTCAGAGTGAGTTCAGGGTTTCTGGTCGAGCGCTGTATAAGCTGGACATCTCCTGGCCCAAGAACCCCGAGTACTTCACCGGACAGGTGTTCGGCGTGGCTGTCAATCATCTGGCCGGCCTGGTGTATGTGGCTCAGGTGAGTGAGGACTGTTTCTCACAGTTCTGAGGGGGAAGGGGCAGAATATAGAGATGTTCACTCACAATCGCGAAAGATACTGTAAACTCACAATTCCAAGAAAAAACAGAATTGCGAGATATAAAAACTATTTCAGAAAAAAAGTCAGAATTGTGAGATGTTATCTCAGAAGTTGCAAATTAAAACTTGCAGTTACTTTTTTATTTTTTTATTGTGGCGGGGGAAAAAAGAATTGTGAGATGAAAAACGTACAATATTGAGAAAAAGGCAGAATTGCGACAAACTCCTAATTTGAGAAGAACACAGAATTATGATATAAAGTAACAATTTAAAAAAAAAAGCAGAATTACGAGATGTAAAAACAATTAGGAAAGAACTTAGATTTGCGACAAACTCAATTTGAGTCGTGAGATAAAAACTACAGTTTCAAGAATGAAGTCACAATTGAAAGATGTGAACTCAAAAGCTGCAAAATAAAACTCGCAATAATTTTTTTTCTGTGGTGGAAACATGAAAAAACAGAATTGCGAGATACACTCAATTTGAGAAAAGGGTCACAATTGATATAAACTTCCAATTTCAAGAAAAAGGCAGAATTGCAAGATAAAATTCACAATTCTGAGAAAAAAAAGACAGAATTATGACATAAACTCACAATTTGAGAAAAAAAATCAGAATTGCAAGATATAGTCAGTTACTTTTTAAAAAGATATTTTAAATGGGCTTCTATAAGTGAGTCTGAGACCATCAGTCATCACGCATCATCCTGACGAGGTCCTCATGTTCCCGTGTGTGTGTGTGTGTGTGTGTTTGCTCCTGACAGAGAGGCGATAACGTGCCTAAAGTGCTGGTGTTCAGCACGGATGGAGACTTCCTGCAGGCCTGGAACACCAGCAGCCTGGAAATGCCTCATGGGATTTTCCTGGCCAACGCATCCGCGGATCCAACGGTGTGGATCACAGATGTAGGGAACGGTGGGTTTTCTCTGCACAGGTGTGTGAGTGTGTGAGCGTGTGTGAGTGAGTGAGTGAGTGTGTGTGAGCGTGTTTGTGTGTGTGAGTGTGTTTGTGTGTGAGCGTGTGTGTGTGTGTGAGCTGTATGAGAAACGTGAGTGTGTGTGTGTGTGTGAGCGTGTGTGAGCGTGCGTGTGTGAGCGTGCGTGAGCGTGCGTGTGTGAGCGTGTGTGTGTGTGAGCGTGCGTGAGCGTGTATGAGTGTGTGTGAGAGTGTGTGAGTGTGTTTGTGTGTGTGCTGGCCAACGCATCCGCGGATCCAACGGTGTGGATCACAGATGTAGGGAACGGTGGGTTTTCTCTGCACAGGTGTGTGAGTGTGTGAGCGTGTGTGAGTGAGTGAGTGAGTGTGTGTGAGCGTGTTTGTGTGTGTGAGTGTGTTTGTGTGTGAGCGTGTGTGTGTGTGTGAGATGTATGAGAAACGTGTGTGGGTGTGAGTGTGTGTGAGCGTGTGTGAGTGCGTGAGTGTGTGAGCATGAGTGAGCGTGTGTGAGTGTGTGTGTGTGAGCGTGTATGAGTGAGTGTGAGCGTGTGTGTGTGTGTGTGTGTGTGTGTGTGTGTGAGCGTGTATGAGTGAGCGTGAGTGTGTGAGCGTGAGTGAGTGAGCGTGAGTGAGTGAGCGTGAGTGAGTGAGCGTGAGTGAGTGAGCGTGAGTGAGTGAGCGTGAGTGAGTGAGCGTGAGTGAGTGAGCGTGAGTGAGTGAGCGTGAGTGAGTGAGCGTGAGTGAGTGAGCGTGAGTGAGTGAGCGTGAGTGAGTGAGCGTGAGTGAGTGAGCGTGAGTGAGTGAGCGTGAGTGAGTGAGCGTGAGTGAGTGAGCGTGAGTGAGTGAGCGTGAGTGAGTGAGCGTGAGTGAGTGAGCGTGAGTGAGTGAGCGTGAGTGAGTGAGCGTGAGTGAGTGAGCGTGAGTGAGTGAGCGTGAGTGAGTGAGCGTGAGTGAGTGAGCGTGAGTGAGTGAGCGTGAGTGAGTGAGCGTGAGTGAGTGAGCGTGAGTGAGTGAGCGTGAGTGAGTGAGCGTGAGTGAGTGAGCGTGAGTGAGTGAGCGTGAGTGAGTGAGCGTGAGTGAGTGAGCGTGAGTGAGTGAGCGTGAGTGAGTGAGCGTGAGTGAGTGAGCGTGAGTGAGTGAGCGTGAGTGAGTGAGCGTGAGTGAGTGAGCGTGAGTGAGTGAGCGTGAGTGAGTGAGCGTGAGTGAGTGAGCGTGAGTGAGTGAGCGTGAGTGAGTGAGCGTGAGTGAGTGAGCGTGAGTGAGTGAGCGTGAGTGAGTGAGCGTGAGTGAGTGAGCGTGAGTGAGTGAGCGTGAGTGAGTGAGCGTGAGTGAGTGAGCGTGAGTGAGTGAGCGTGAGTGAGTGAGCGTGAGTGAGTGAGCGTGAGTGAGTGAGCGTGAGTGAGTGAGCGTGAGTGAGTGAGCGTGAGTGAGTGAGCGTGAGTGAGTGAGCGTGAGTGAGTGAGCGTGAGTGAGTGAGCGTGAGTGAGTGAGCGTGAGTGAGTGAGCGTGAGTGAGTGAGCGTGAGTGAGTGAGCGTGAGTGAGTGAGCGTGAGTGAGTGAGCGTGAGTGAGTGAGCGTGAGTGAGTGAGCGTGAGTGAGTGAGCGTGAGTGAGTGAGCGTGAGTGAGTGAGCGTGAGTGAGTGAGCGTGAGTGAGTGAGCGTGAGTGAGTGAGCGTGAGTGAGTGAGCGTGAGTGAGTGAGCGTGAGTGAGTGAGCGTGAGTGAGTGAGCGTGAGTGAGTGAGCGTGAGTGAGTGAGCGTGAGTGAGTGAGCGTGAGTGAGTGAGCGTGAGTGAGTGAGCGTGAGTGAGTGAGCGTGAGTGAGTGAGCGTGAGTGAGTGAGCGTGAGTGAGTGAGCGTGAGTGAGTGAGCGTGAGTGAGTGAGCGTGAGTGAGTGAGCGTGAGTGAGTGAGCGTGAGTGAGTGAGCGTGAGTGAGTGAGCGTGAGTGAGTGAGCGTGAGTGAGTGAGCGTGAGTGAGTGAGCGTGAGTGAGTGAGCGTGAGTGAGTGAGCGTGAGTGAGTGAGCGTGAGTGAGTGAGCGTGAGTGAGTGAGCGTGAGTGAGTGAGCGTGAGTGAGTGAGCGTGAGTGAGTGAGCGTGAGTGAGTGAGCGTGAGTGAGTGAGCGTGAGTGAGTGAGCGTGAGTGAGTGAGCGTGAGTGAGTGAGCGTGAGTGAGTGAGCGTGAGTGAGTGAGCGTGAGTGAGTGAGCGTGAGTGAGTGAGCGTGAGTGAGTGAGCGTGAGTGAGTGAGCGTGAGTGAGTGAGCGTGAGTGAGTGAGCGTGAGTGAGTGAGCGTGAGTGAGTGAGCGTGAGTGAGTGAGCGTGAGTGAGTGAGCGTGAGTGAGTGAGCGTGAGTGAGTGAGCGTGAGTGAGTGAGCGTGAGTGAGTGAGCGTGAGTGAGTGAGCGTGAGTGAGTGAGCGTGAGTGAGTGAGCGTGAGTGAGTGAGCGTGAGTGAGTGAGCGTGAGTGAGTGAGCGTGAGTGAGTGAGCGTGAGTGAGTGAGCGTGAGTGAGTGAGCGTGAGTGAGTGAGCGTGAGTGAGTGAGCGTGAGTGAGTGAGCGTGAGTGAGTGAGCGTGAGTGAGTGAGCGTGAGTGAGTGAGCGTGAGTGAGTGAGCGTGAGTGAGTGAGCGTGAGTGAGTGAGCGTGAGTGAGTGAGCGTGAGTGAGTGAGCGTGAGTGAGTGAGCGTGAGTGAGTGAGCGTGAGTGAGTGAGCGTGAGTGAGTGAGCGTGAGTGAGTGAGCGTGAGTGAGTGAGCGTGAGTGAGTGAGCGTGAGTGAGTGAGCGTGAGTGAGTGAGCGTGAGTGAGTGAGCGTGAGTGAGTGAGCGTGAGTGAGTGAGCGTGAGTGAGTGAGCGTGAGTGAGTGAGCGTGAGTGAGTGAGCGTGAGTGAGTGAGCGTGAGTGAGTGAGCGTGAGTGAGTGAGCGTGAGTGAGTGAGCGTGAGTGAGTGAGCGTGAGTGAGTGAGCGTGAGTGAGTGAGCGTGAGTGAGTGAGCGTGAGTGAGTGAGCGTGAGTGAGTGAGCGTGAGTGAGTGAGCGTGAGTGAGTGAGCGTGAGTGAGTGAGCGTGAGTGAGTGAGCGTGAGTGAGTGAGCGTGAGTGAGTGAGCGTGAGTGAGTGAGCGTGAGTGAGTGAGCGTGAGTGAGTGAGCGTGAGTGAGTGAGCGTGAGTGAGTGAGCGTGAGTGAGTGAGCGTGAGTGAGTGAGCGTGAGTGAGTGAGCGTGAGTGAGTGAGCGTGAGTGAGTGAGCGTGAGTGAGTGAGCGTGAGTGAGTGAGCGTGAGTGAGTGAGCGTGAGTGAGTGAGCGTGAGTGAGTGAGCGTGAGTGAGTGAGCGTGAGTGAGTGAGCGTGAGTGAGTGAGCGTGAGTGAGTGAGCGTGAGTGAGTGAGCGTGAGTGAGTGAGCGTGAGTGAGTGAGCGTGAGTGAGTGAGCGTGAGTGAGTGAGCGTGAGTGAGTGAGCGTGAGTGAGTGAGCGTGAGTGAGTGAGCGTGAGTGAGTGAGCGTGAGTGAGTGAGCGTGAGTGAGTGAGCGTGAGTGAGTGAGCGTGAGTGAGTGAGCGTGAGTGAGTGAGCGTGAGTGAGTGAGCGTGAGTGAGTGAGCGTGAGTGAGTGAGCGTGAGTGAGTGAGCGTGAGTGAGTGAGCGTGAGTGAGTGAGCGTGAGTGAGTGAGCGTGAGTGAGTGAGCGTGAGTGAGTGAGCGTGAGTGAGTGAGCGTGAGTGAGTGAGCGTGAGTGAGTGAGCGTGAGTGAGTGAGCGTGAGTGAGTGAGCGTGAGTGAGTGAGCGTGAGTGAGTGAGCGTGAGTGAGTGAGCGTGAGTGAGTGAGCGTGAGTGAGTGAGCGTGAGTGAGTGAGCGTGAGTGAGTGAGCGTGAGTGAGTGAGCGTGAGTGAGTGAGCGTGAGTGAGTGAGCGTGAGTGAGTGAGCGTGAGTGAGTGAGCGTGAGTGAGTGAGCGTGAGTGAGTGAGCGTGAGTGAGTGAGCGTGAGTGAGTGAGCGTGAGTGTTGTGTGTGTGTGTGTGTGTGTGTGTGTGTGTGAGTGAGACATGTGAGTAACACTGCTGTGGTGTGTGTGTGTGTGTGTGTGTGTGTGTGTGTGTGTGTGTTTCAGGGCCGTACGGACACACAGTGAAGCAGTATTCTCCATCAGGGAAGCTGCTGCAGGTTCTGGGATCTCCTGGGAAAGCCGGATCTTCTCTGAGTCCGCTCCAGTTCGACCAGCCAGCTGAAATATTCGTCCACAGTTCTGGAGAAATCTACATAGTGGACGGAGACGGCGGCATGAACAACCGCCTGATCAAACTCTCCAGAGGTGTGCTTTATGGTGATTTTAGCATCACTGGCTCTTATTATCTCACATTTCTACACGCATTTACTTCTCATTAAACATTTCTGCTTAATTGACAGTATGTGTGTATCAGCATTATTTCAGTATCATCAAGGTATTATTATAGTTTTTAATTCATATTTTATTTTTACAATTTCTGTTTTACTATCATTTTAGTAAATGTTTTTAATAATGTTGTTGTGAGTTTTGGTTACTTTTAATAATTGTTATTAATTTTTTTCTTTTTAGTTATTTTAGTGCATCAACTTAAACTAAATGAGAAAGTGAAATGTTGCCTTGGCAACTAGCTGAAATAATATAATATAAAATAAGGCAAGGCAAGTTTATTTATATAGCACATTTCATACACAATGGTAATTCAAAGTGCTTTACATAAAAGGAATTAAAATAATAATTAAAAATAATCAAAATAATTTTATTATAATATAAAAATATATTTTATTTTAGTTTTTTATTCTTTTAGTTAACTATAATATTCCTATAATATAATATTCCTAGTGAGTTTGTTTTTAACCTTGTTCTAATCCAATGCTAATGAATTTGTAGTATTGTAATGAATGTGTAATTTGCACAAAACACGTCCACAATGAAAAAAAAACAATATTATTAGTTGCTCTTACATTTCTTAAATATAGAATACATTTTAATACAAAATCAGGGTTTGTATGTGGAAATGTTCATGCACAGATGAGTGAATGTGACGCATTGGTGTGTGTCAGATCTGCAGGTGCTGTGGATGCACGGAGAGAAAGGACAGGGACTCGCTCAGTTCTACATCCCTCACAGTGTGGCGGTCGACAGCTACCAGAGGGTTTGTGTCAATGTTCTTCCTCACTTCTGTTTCTGAATGACGTCAACACGAAAACATGCTCACCCTCAGGTCATCTGAGATCAGGATGAGTTTGTTTCTTCATCAGGTTTGTAGAAATGTAGCATTGCATCAGTGTCTCACTGCAAGTGAATGGGTGCCGTCAGAATGAGAGTCCAAACAGCTGATAAAAACATCACAATAATCCACAAGTAATCCACAGCACTCCAGTCCATCAGTTAACATCTGGAGAAGACAAAAGCTGAAAAGTTTAGAGCCGTTTTGGACCGTTTTGGCTTGTAAATGGTGCAGATTTCTCTCCTGATTCAGACCAGAACACTTTTTCACTGAAGGAAGCGTTATTATGGATTATGAACTCAATGTATTTTAGTTAGAAACGTCTTAATGCTGGATTAGTTTCAGCTTTTGTCTTCTCCAGATGTTAACTGATGGACTGGAGTGCTGTGGATTACTTGTGGATTATTGTGATGTTTTTATCAGCTGTTTGGACTCTCATTCTGACGGCACCCATTCACTTGCAGTGAGACACTGATGCAATGCAACATTTCTACAAATCTGATGAAGACACAAACTCATCCTGATCTCCGATGGCCTGAGAGTGAGTGCATTTTCAGCAGATTTTAATTTTGGGTGAACCGTTCCTTTAAGATCCTGTTTGACAGCATTACAGCAGTCAGGTGGGTTGTGAATGTAGTTGACTGACGCAGTGTTAACTGTTCTGTGTTCGTCCTCTCGTGCTCGTGTGTTCAGGTGTGGGTTGCAGACAGAGGGAACAAGCGTATCCAGGTGTTTAACTCTGTGACGGGAGACTGGCTGGGCTCGTGGGGCAGCTGTTTTAAAGAGGACGCGCCGTACTCCGTCAGGTGTGTTAAGGTTGTTTTTCCGATTTGATCAATTAATTCGAATTTAATGTTTTGCCACGATTTGATATGATGAATAGAAATATGACCAAACATTAGAAATAGACACTTTGACAATATGACAATGATAACAGTAAAGAGAAAAGAATGATCAACTGTTCCTGTGTGACGCGCTCAGTGAAGGACCATAAGTAGAATATAGTGCGAGGTGCAGTTCACACAGAATGTGCTTTTGTATTAATAAAGATGCGACGCGGCAGTGGAAAAGGAAAAAATGCAAGAAGATGGGAGTGAACTTCTTTTAACTTGAGCGGCGTGTTTTTAGAAAGCCGTTTCATGCAAGAGACGCAAGCGCAACAGTCAAACACGTCCATGTTTACATAGAAAACCAATGGAAAAGCAGCGCAATCGAATAAAAAACCTGTAAAGAACTACTACTGTATGTCTAATATTTCATGTTTGCATCATGGTGACCGGCTGAAAGCTGCTGTTATTTTTAAAGAACATTTATAGTTACTAAAAGTCTACTGGTGTTAGT